GGGGCGTGAGACGCGCCTCGCCGTGGAATTCCCTGGGGGCGCGTTCCACACAGCCCCGCCCGGCCCGCGCTTTCATCTGGGTGGGGGTGGGGAGAGGTCGGAGTCCCGGGCCTGTGCGGATGAGCCGAGCTGCTTTTTAAAACCGGCACATGGTGAGAAAGGGCCCCGGTTAGTAACAGAGCAGGAGGGGAGATTTTCATCGCCCGGGTGCTATTGAATTGGCGCTGCCCTGCAGGAGGGGCTGTTCAGCTGGCAGCCTAGAACTGGCTGCTTCTTACTCCCTTATGTAAACCCCTGCAGGAGTCCCGGGCCTGTGCGGATGAGCCGAGCTGCTTTTTAAAACCGGCACATGGTGAGAAAGGGCCCCGGTTAGTAACAGAGCAGGAGGGGAGATTTTCATCGCCCGGGTGCTATTGAATTGGCGCTGCCCTGCAGGAGGGGCTGTTCAGCTGGCAGCCTAGAACTGGCTGCTTCTTACTCCCTTATGTAAACCCCTGCAGCCTGGCCAGGGCTGGGTATGTAACTGCACGGTGGTCCGTGACTGCAGCATATGCAGCGCTCAGTAGTCTGACCAAGGCTGATCTTGATTAGCCAGTGGAAGCATTTCTACAGTGTCTGCATGGGGTTCTTTCTCAGTAACCTTCACACTGGTTAGGGAACCCCCCACAAAACTGCAGCCCTAGGAACCCACAACAAAGATGTCCACTGCAGCTCTGACCTCATTCACCCCCATCTCATCCCAGATGTTAAATACCTGTGATTAATAAGGCCATTGCATTGGGGAAGGGAGGCAGGATCCAGCCTTCAGCAAGGGGCAAAGGAGACAGTGAGAGGAACGGGATCTGGGGGGAAAGGAGTTCAAAGTAGAGGTGACCGGATTTGTTATGGACAGGACTTTTGAAAGCGAATCAAAGCAGAAGCATTTCACCAAAAAGAATGTGGGAATAAGGCTAACTAGTCCACCAGAATCTGATGATAACCGGAGCAGTAATAATGGTATCCTGGCCTAATTCACTTGCGTCTACAAAGCAGCATAATTTCGGAATAATAATGTGAGCGATTACACAGCAATTCCCTTATTTCAAAATAAATTAGAAATAATAGATGGATTATTTCAACCTCTGTAATCCTCATTGCACGAGGAATAATGCCTATTCTGAAGTAGCTTTTTGGAATAGCAGTAGGGTGGATGCTCCACTGCTGCTATTTCAAAATAGCCCCTCCCTACAACCATTCAAAGTAATTTCTCCCCAGTGCTTCCTAGGGCTCTAAATCAAGGTAGCATACCCACATTAAGGAAGCCTGCCTCGGACTGATTTTGAGGCTTCCCTGTAGTATAGATTTGCTATTTTGAAATATTTCTTCCAAAATAGCTTATTTTGAAATAAGCATGCTTACTCCCCTTCGACTATTTTCATTAAGTAGTGTGGAGTTTCCTTTTTAAATCCCAGTTCAGTGGCCTAAGAAAACAGGTGAAGCTCTGGGTTCTGAATCAGAGACCCCTTTTTCCTTTTTTAATGAGGAGTTTTGTATATTAGCTATGCATGGGGAGGCTGAGGAGAGGAGGGGAGGGGAAAAGCCAGAAGAACTAGGGCCAGGAAGGACGGGCTATGTCAGGAGAGCATGATGAACAGTTAAAAGTGTTTCACATGAGAAGTGCATGTCATGTAATGAGGGCTCCATGAAAGCTGATGAAGGCTAAGAAATTGGACACCATCACTGAGAGTGTAGCAACAGAAACTGACAGAGCTTGAGAGCCAAAGCTGAAACAGACAGCTCCAATCCTGCTTCAAAACAAGAGTATAAATAAATAGCGCTGGCAAGGGAACAGAGGTTGCTTACTATAGAGTGCCTGATACCCAACAAGCTGCTGCTTTGAAGTTTAAATGAACAGTGTCTGGCTGTGTAGTTTGAGTGTCTTATTATTCTGCACAGAGACAGCACTTTACCTGATAGCTGGAGTAAGTCAGCTTCACAGAGGGATAGTGTAGAGCAGCACAGCATGGCAAACTGGGTGGTGCATATTCCTTCCCATGGCTGGGCTGCAGTGTCATCTTTTTTTCTTGATAATTTGCTCTCTCTGCGCTACCTGGAGCTACTCCCTGCTTTTAGAAACAGGGAACCAAATCTTCAGAAGCTTGTATTCAGATTGAGAAAAACGTGTGGGAGAGGAGCTGCTAGGGCCAGTGGCTTGCTAGAGTACAGGCTTATTTAATGATAAGGCACGGATTTGACATCAAACCTGAGTTTGGAGTAACCAGATGTTGCTAGCATCAGATGGTTGTGGGTGTTCCTTGCTGCAGTGAATCCATGGTCTCCAGATAGTTGGGAGAAGCAGAAATGTGCATGGACCCCAACATTTGCATTTGGGCACACCTGGGGGCATTTGGGTTGGCTGTTGGGCAGGCCCAATTGTACAGTTGGACTTGGGCCATGGGCTGATTTCTCCTATTCTCTCCCCTCCCTTCTATCAAACATTGTAATTGATAGAAATGAGTCCTTCTTTCACCTTGACCACTAGAGCGGGCAGGCTGAGCCAGTGGTACATTCTTAATCCCTCCCCAGGGAGGAGACAGTGCACAGAGCAATGCTTTTTCTTCCCTTTCCTCCCTCACCCCCATTCTGTCTGATCAGGAGGGAGAAGAGAACCCAGTATCTGCTGGATCTTTATAAGAAGGTGCATATTGATAGTCCTGGGGGGATTCTGCACAAAAAAATAAAAATTCTGCACATAGTATTTTAATGTTCTGCATATTTTATTTCTTCAAACCACACAGTATAATCACACCGGTTTCAATTATTTCAGTAATTACTTTAGTAATTCCATTTATTTAAACTACATTACATTGGATGGAGATTAGGACTGGGGAGCATTAGGGAAAATCCCCAAACCCTCTAAGTAATAAGAATGAAGCTAGTATTGACCTTTACCTCTAGTTATTAGTCAATAAATCTATGCAATCATATGCTCAATGTTACACCATAAGAAACTGAAGAGCAAGTGAGGGCTGGGGATTCAAATGACCATATCCAGAAATGTCAGCGGGAAGTAATTCATGGATCATATTTTGATAAATCTAAATTTTTTGACAAAGAATTTCCTAACCCAATTTCTTAATATTATATTTGTTAACATTTTCTGTTGGGGCATGCTAAACAGAGGAGGTGATATAAACAGCTTTTAAATATAAAGAGCAAGGCTCTTGTTATGAACTTTGATTTCCTGTTTAGAAAGCAACACAGTTTCCAGGTCTGAATAAACTCTAAGGTAAAAGGCTAGCATATTTATAAAAAATAAATGGCCAAAGGCCTCAGTTTATTAGCCCAGCACCAGCATACATTATATATTATTGGTATTGCAGTAGTATCTAGCACCAGGAATCTATTGTGTTTTGCAATGAACATACACTGTAGATAGCGACACTGAACAAAAAGACAGTCCCTGAGTTCATGAGAAACACCTTCAAGTTATTATCATGCTGCTATTTTTAACTAAAGATCAGGAATGAAATTCTAGCCCATTGAAGTCTGTGGGAATTTTGCCAGTGAAACCAGGATTCCACCCCATTTCTAAATGAAATAGAAGAGAAAAAAAAAGCTGACAAACTGATGAGAGGTTAATCTTTTTTATAAAATAATTCAAAAACCATCTTGACTCTTTCTAGTCCCATCACCTCCTATTGCTTCTCTTCCCTACCTTCTTCCCCCTGCCCAGCTTTCTTCCCTTTTTGTAAGCAGAACTCTTCTCCTTATCATAGGCCAAACACTTTGTTCAAGGACATTTTCGTTCTTAGCTGGGAGGCAGAAGGGGAATGCTTCCAATGGAAGCAAACAAGGGCACAGGTAGGAGCAAGAGTACTATTAAGACAAGTGAGAAGCTGGGCTCAATTCTGCTCCCGTTGAAATTGGTGACAAAACTCTTGCTGTCTCTATGCTATATATAATTGTGCATAATTTCTGTTGGTATGAAGGTACTTACTAGAGTTTGCATTCTTTCCTCACAGGTAGATCTTATGCGCACCTTTGTTTTCCGCAACTCCAAGCAAACGTACACAGGAATCCCCATTATGGTGGCAAACATGGACACTGTGGGCACATTTGAAATGGCAAAGGAGATGACTAAAGTAAGTGAGGCTGTTCATTTTTTCTACCAAAGCTGGGAAACCATTTGGTGACTGAACACCGTATAAAAGCCTAGGCAATTACATATTCCAGATAGGTGAATGGAGGGTTGGAGGACAAAGGAAACCATTGTCATGAAATCAAGAACATGAGGGTAAAATCTTAAGGTTGTCTGTTCTACAACAAAAGGTGTTTTTCACTTCAAGATACCTAACCCAAGAGAGTGTGCTATATATAAAATCCTAGCGGGCACAAGGCACAGGTAAATTTTACCTTGATGTAGCTAGTTGAAGTCAGCCCGCAGTGCAGGAGGGGATAGGGTTCTGATAATATCTACTCTTAGGTAACATTACTCTGTCCTACAAGGTTGTAATTGCTTCTCTACTGTTTCTATTTATAATTTGTGCTGTATGTAGGAGAAATCTGATTAGCTGCAAAAATTTTGATCATGCAGGTTATCAAGTACAGCTACTGCAATCAGATCTTGTTAGCTAATTGGCTTCTAGCCTCATGACATGTCCATAGTGAGCAGGAAATGGAGAATACACTGTACAACTGCAGATTTTGCTAATTGCTTATTTAGAACTGATCCCTGCAATGTGCCAAGCACTCTGGACTCTCATTGAAGAGGAATCAGGATCGAGAACTAATTATTATTTCAAGTAGGAATGTAAATATGCATCAACAGATTAATTAAAATTATTGCGTTTAATCAGTTAACCATTGGTGAGGGCAAGGCAGCCAGAGCAGGAGGGGGAAGGGTCTTACCAGGGTGGGTCGGCCGGCAGGCATGGCAATGTGGCTGGGGCTAGGGGCTGGAAATGCTGTGGCACGGCTGGATCTAGGGCCCCTGCAAATGGCTGGTGCACATTTGCCCCTACCCCCTCTCCCGGAAGGGGGGGGGGAGAGCTCAGGCAAGGGCCAGGGCCACTGTCCTTCCTGCTTCCCATGCAGCCCTGCCTGCTACCCTGACCTGGCTGGGTTCCCATCGACTGGCCCCAGGTGGCTGGCAGCCTGGTTAACTGGTGGTTACCAAATAAGCATTCTGATAAGCTTAGTGCTTACCTGGTAACCAGTTAATCTGTTAACCTTTTACATCCCTAATTTTTAAACAAGATGAGTACACAAGTAAGACACAGTGAGTTTGTGACAGCAGATTGGAAGGAGAGCTGACTTAATTTGGATGTTAATATCACTTTGCTTGTTTCTTTTTTCCAGCATGCAATGTTCACTGCTATTCACAAGCATTATTCCCTGGAAGAATGGAAACTGTTTGCAGCCAGTCACCCAGAATGCCTTGAGGTACATTCCCATATTGTAAACTCAGTCTGCTCTGCCTTAAAGCAGGCTATGAAAGTCATTCCTTTGTGGAAAATAATACCCACAGCACTGTTCTCTTGGCATTGAACAAGGTTTTTCATCATCTGTGGCTAATTTTTAAATGATTTTTTTAATTAGGGGCTTGTCTGAGGGTCAACCTATCACTTAGGTTCAGCAACTTTTTTATAGGTAGTACTGGAATAGAGAGAGGCCCAAGAGAAGGGTGCATCTACAAAGCAGAGCTTAACTCAAAATAAGCTACGCAAATTGAGCTACGTCAATTGCATAGCTTATTTTGAAATAGCTTACTTCAAAATTGGGAGCGTCAACACAGCACTTATTTGGAAATAGAGCATTCTTCGTCCGACTTTCCTTACTCCTTGTACAATGAGGGTTACGTGGATTCATGTTGAGGTTCTGTTGGCCAGCAGCTGTGGTAGCTATTTTTAATATGAGAATGAACCCATAGTAAGGAGAAGCGAGGAATATCTGCTTATTCATACTGGCACTCAAGGGAGGGCTGAGTGAATTGATAGCGAGTGAATAGGTCCAAGCCCTATTTTCTAAGGGATCCCCAAAGTTTGCCACTTTATTGCAATTATAAAAACTAGTTAGGGTCCCTGTATTTTTGTTGATTTGGACATCTCTGATTGCCCATGAAGAGAGTCCCTTTATACATTAAGGTACTTTCAGATTAGTTTATAGATAGTTTAAATGTAAGTAGGGCTTATAATATGCCACTACTACTCTACTGAAGAAGAGCCTCAAAACAAAGCGTAGGTAACTTATTGATTTTTTTTTTTTTTTTTTTTTTGCCTGGCTTTGGTATTTATTTCTGTAGGGTTTTACAGAGCACTTGATAGCTTCCAGCGTGGGTTTGTATGGAAGCTTGCCCAGGGTGGGTGGAAACAGATGCAAGAACTGCACTTGGCTGATCTCTAAGAGCTGCTGATCATTTCTCTCTCCGTGTCTCTCCCCAGCATGTTGCAGTGAGCTCAGGCAGCGGGAAGGCTGACTTGGACAGGCTGACAAGTATCCTGGAGGCCATTCCTCTTATCAAGTACATCTGCCTGGATGTTGCCAATGGATACTCAGAGCACTTTGTAGAATTTGTGAAAACTGTCCATGCCAAGTTCCCAAATCACACCATCATGGTAGGTGGGTAGAAGAGGGGTATCGGGGTTATCCTCATAAGAAGGGCTCAGATTTTCCTGATACTGATTAGTTATGCTAGCGAAGCACTTCTGGAACAGTCCATCTATTCCTGCAGGATCTAAATCCTCATTCACAAAACAGGGGCGAAGAGTTCTGCTCATTTCCCTCTGCTGAAGGTCTCTCACTAAATTTCAGACTTTGTGGTTTGTTCAGGAGGGGAAGATTATCTTCAGACACAGTGCTGTCCTCTTTCACCCAAGGACACAGGAAGTAGCTTTGGCTACATCTACACTGCAACTCTATTTCGGGATGCTGGAGTATCCAAAAATAGCTATCCTATGTCTTCACAGCAAGCCCATTATTTTGGGCTTGCTGTTCCAACGTCTCTGTAAACCTTATTCCACAAGGAGTAAGGGACATTTTGCAATAGCAGTCTATTTTGAAATTTGGTGTGGTGTAGACCACACCAAATTACGAAATAAACTATTTCAAAATAAGATTGAAATAAGATATGTAATTTGTGTAGCTCAGATTGTGTATCTTATTTTGAGCAAGGGTGCAGTGTAGATGCACCCTTTGTGAGGTTTCATCTACCCCCATTCATCGCAGGAGGATGCTGAGTGTGAAGCCAAGTAATGGCAGTTCAATAATGTCAGTGTTGTCACTGTTTCACAATTAATCATGTTAGCAGAAATTGTCAACATTGACGCTGAGATTGTGGTTCGAGTTTGGGATTGTGGACAGAGGTTTTATTTTTCTCCAACCACTGCCCCCCTCCCATGCTGATTCTGACCACTAATCATAAATTTTGTAGTTTCACCTTCCACATTGGTGATTCCATGCTGAATTCCATAGCGCACTTGCTGGTGTTGTGTGCAAAGCTGTCTGGTCACAGTGCTGGCTCCTCCTTGTTTCCAGCTACTACATTACATCAAAGGCATCTAAACCTAGAGTAAATATTTTCCTAATACTGCTATACTCGATCAGCCGTTGCTGTTGTTGCCACAGGAATGTTAGCCACTCATGAATGGGAAGGGGAAGTGTCAGACCAGCGACTGGAGTAGGCACTGAGAGGGCTTGGCATACCCCCACCATGGCATGCCTACCCCTTCTCAGTTCACCCATGTTGTAACCCTCCTGTCCCATACATAGGGCGATCATATTACCATGTGCTGAATATGGGCTATTTGGTAAAATTACTTGTACTTGTTTTCAAGCAAGTTCAATGGCACTCAATCTAGGAATGTAAAGGGTTAACTGCTAAACATCACCGTTACCAGATGATACTTATAGATAACTGGTGGCCCAGTGGGGCAGGAGTAGCTCCCTGCCTGTAATGCAGGGCAGTAGGCCCGGCCCTGCCCAGCTGGAGCAGCTCCCTGCCCACAGTGTGGTGCCATGAGCTGGGATGGGCCCCAGGAGCCCCTGCTTCCGGAGTGGTGGACTCAGCCCAGACTGGCTGGAGTAGCCTGCAGTGCAGTGGATTGGGCCAGGCTGGAGCATGAGGTGGCTGCTGCAGCCTGGCCAGGCCTGCTGCACTGCTGCAGGCAGAGGGCTGTTCCATAGTTAACTCGTTAAACCTAGTGATTAACATTTTTGAATGATAATTAACATCCCTAATTCAATCAGAGCTAATGTTCAAATTAATATCAAGTTGGCTGAGTCCCTGTTAAAAGGAAATACTGCCTAGTTGGATTCTTTTTAACTTCTTGTCTTTAAGGCTTCATGGTTTACACGGGCAGGGACGAGACCTCCCTGTGTATGGGTAGCTGGGTCTCGGGAGGAGGGGGAGGGGAATGTGTCACACACATGCATACTCCCATACACCACTCTCACATAGATTGGGGTGACTGACTGACCCAACCCTGCCTGCCCTCCACTCTTGGCAGGTCCCAGCAACAAACTAGCCTCTCCTGGTATCTGGCATCACATCTTCCCAAGGCAAGATGTGTGGGGGCAGAAATCGGGGGTCCATGTGACCCTATCTGCCAGGGTTCATACCAGAATGTGACCAGCAGCAGCCTTTTGTCATTGTGAGGAGGAGGGGGGAAAAGGAGCTGTTCCAGCTGCAAGGGAGGATGTAGGGGGAAGGAACAACCTGGCCCGTGTCTTCAGAGATCATCTCTTCTCTCCCCCCCCCCCCTCTCCCAACACTGCAAGCAGTTTGTCCCCTGCATGCCCACTTAGGCTACATCTACACTACAAGGTTTTTGCACAAAACCTGGCGGAGCATCCACACCTCAAGCGGGTTTTTGCCCAAGTAAATCGGTAAATCAGCAGAACAGAGGGCTTTTGCTGATAGTTATTCCTCTCCCCACAAGAACTAACTCCTTTTTGTGCTACAGCTCTTGTGCAAAAAGGCAGGTGTGGACACTCTGGAGGGGGTTTTGCACAAGAAACCCCTATCGGCAAAAGCACAGGTACTCTGATGGCCATTCTGTGAATGGCCATCAGAGCTTTCTTGTGCAAGAGTGTCCATGCAGCATGGACGCTCTCTTGCACAAGAGCACATTGCTTTTGTGATCTGCTTTGAGGTCTGGACCCGCTTTTGCCCAAGAAGTTTTTACAAAAGATCTCTTCCGCAAAAGGCTTCTTGTGCAAAAACCCTGCAGTGTAGATGAAGCCTTGGTGTCAAAAAGCAGCTAACACATCCAGGCTGCTGCTGGCCACCAGTATAACCCAGCTGCCTCTTGTTCCCCAGCTACAATGTGGGCAGGGTGGAGTTAAGCCCTACGGGCCCAGGCAAACTGACTGCAGGGGCTTCAGCAAACCTGGCCAGAGAGGTAGCTCAGCAAGGGAGGGTGCCTAAGGATGGAGCAGCCCTACACTTCCAGGGCTGTGGAGCTGCCGATTCAGGATGTGAACAGGCTGGCAATCACTTTCCCAGAGTACTCCAGAGCTCATCTGAGCAGTGGAGAGGCTTCCTCACACTAGGTCTGCATGTGGCTTTACCAGAGACAGTGGGGGAAGGAAGGAGCCTGCCAGCCAGGCTGTTGGTTGCTGAATGCTCTGACCAGGGGCTGGTTCTCGGCACAGTGCGGGGAGTGGAATACCCTCCATTGTGGGTGGAGGGGCTATGGAGAAGCAGCGGGGCAGGGAAAGGACAGCGAGGATGGACAGCAGAGGCGACATGTAACTGTCTGCCTCCTGACACTCACCAACCACCACAGCTTGCAGAGTAGAGCCAATGTCAGCCAGAAACAAGATATGTGGGGGAATGGGTCCAACTGGCTGGGAGCTGGCATGCAGTGGGAGCTGTGGAGATGGACTGGCTGGGAGAAGCAGCCAGCCCAGCATGCTGCATTTTAACCCTGCCACCAGCCTTCCACACCCACCTCCATCTGCCACTGGATTCTGCCACTCACTGCTGGTGGGTAGTTGGCTGGCATGCAGGGATCTGGCCAGCAGCCAATACTGATCTGGGGGAGACAGAACATATAGGAACATTTTTCTGCTTTTATGAAAGTCAGGACACCTGTGGAAGGGTTTAAATATGGGACTATCCCTTTAAAAACAGGACATCTAGTGACCCCATTGATATGGGCTAATGAGTAGGGAGCTTGTGCAGAAGGCAGCACTATGCAGAGAGTGTATGTACTCTCTTGCTAGCATTGTACTTGCAACAGGACCACACAGATTCTGTTGCCAATAGCCCGCATTGGCCAAGAAGCAGGGGGGCCAACTTTGTTCCTTTGAGAGCAGCAAAGACTCTGGTACTAGAATGATCAGCAGACTCTTCAAGCTATTGGACTTTATTCAAACCAACACAAAAGAAACCGCTTGTATGAGCAAGACATTGCCATTCTTTCATGCCAGGCACAAAGCTATTCCACCACACCCTTAATGTAGTGGGGAAAAAACAGGTCATAACCAGCTGATCCTGCTTGAAGCAGAGAAAGGAGCTGCATGTCCATGCAGCTCAGGGAAGCCCATGTTGCTTCGACCCATGTGGGATGAAGCCACAATGGAAAATGAGATAGGGAGGAGGGGAAAGAACAAGAAAGGAAAAAAAAATACGTGTGTCTGCTTTTTTGCCTGCTGAGATCTGGCTTGTTTGAAATGGGAAGATTGTGTTGGACTGCTTGTGGAGACCTGAGTAAGGATCATCTAACTAACAGGCCCACTGCCAAAGTGACCAGAGAAGATGCACATGTGTAGCCCAATTCTGCCTCTTTTTTCATATACGCAGCTCTCAATGATTTTGATAGGAGTTTGTGGGTGCACAAATAAGGCAGGATTGGGCCCTGAGGGGACTAACTTCAGATTCTGGAGCACTTTAGAGACTAACAAAAAATATATGTATGTTATTCTCTAATGCCTGGTCTACACTAGGACCTTAGACTGAAATTAGCTCCCCAAGGTCTATTCACTACCAAGCCTGTTATTCCAGAATAAGGGGCCGTGGAATTCAAACTCTGTAGTCCTGCTTTTTCATGAGGACAAACGCTATTCCTGATCTTTTAAGTCTAAAATAACAGTAGTGTGGATGCTCTGGTGCTGCTAATTCAAACTAATTGGCCTCCAGGAGGCCTCCTGCAGCTCCCCACAGTGATTCCTGGGGCTCTGAGTCCTAGGTAGTGTGTTCACATTAATGGAGCCTGCCTCGGACTACATTCGATGCTTCCCTGTAGTGAGGACACAGACATTCAAATTTGTAAAATCGGGTGCCCACAAGTTGAATTTAGTTAATTTGAAATAATCTCCTAGTGTAGACATGGTCTCAGGTGCTACAGGACTACTTATTAAGTTTTTTTAAATTACAGACTAACGCGGCTACCCTTCTGAGACTTCAGATTTTGGATGAATGTCTTTTTAATTTCTGATGAAATTAGGAAAAGGAGTAGTACACAATATTATTTAAGTTCCAATAGTATGGAGAGACCCCAGCTGAGATTTGTGTCCTGTTGTACAAACACATAAGAGATAGTCTCTGCTTGGAATATCTTGCAATCTAAATAGACACAGAGGGAGCATTATTTTTTCCCCATTTTTACAGATG